CATGACAAGATAATCCAAAGCATTTTTTTTGTTAAAGTATTGAAATGCTTTTGAAGTGTAGGTACGTTGCTGGACATGTGCACCAAATTTGTACAAAGTTAAATCCCACAAACAGCAACAGAGTACTGAACAGAATATCTGTACTGTTATAACAAGGTGGAGAGCTGGATGAACACAGCAGGCCAGGCAGCATCAGAGGAGCAGGAAAGCTGACGTTTCAGGTCTGGACCCTTCTTCAGAAAATGAAGAACTCTGGAACTCATTGCCTGTAAGGGTGATAAGAGGCAGAAACCCTTATAATATTCATAAAGTTTTTAGATGTGCACTTGCGATGCCAAGGCTAGGGGCAAATCTTCATTTTCTGAAGAAGGGTCCAGACCCGAAACATCAGCTTTCCTGCTCCTCTGATGCTGCTTGGCCTGCTGTGTTCATCCAGCTCTACACCTTGTTATCTCAGATTCTCCAGCATTGGCAGTTCCTACTATCATCTGTACTGTTATGTTGCCCAAGGAAAAAACATTGTTCAGGACATATGGGAGAACTTTCAGTTTCCTCTAAATAATGTCATGGAATCATATTGGACTTTATTTAATGTCTCAAGCACCTCCAACAAAGTAGCACTCCCTCAGTACAGTACCGGAATGCCATTTTGGATTTCACGCTAATCTCCCAGGGTTGTTTCACTAGTACAATCACATGACTGTTGTTAACTGCTTGCTTTGCTGTTGATCCTGCTGGGGGGGGGGGGGGGGGGGCGGTGTTTTGAACAGTGACTGGCTGGTAGAAAGTTCTTGCTTTATCTGATTCAATTCCAGAAAATGCTGCTAAGAATGAGCTGAATTGGAGGCAAGTTTGCTATGAACAAGCTTCCCAGCTGATTTCTCCCATTTATGAAAGGGAAACTCTAACTCAGTTCTGGATGAATTGCATTTGTTATTTTGAAAGTATAATTGAAAGAACATCATCAAGTTTGTGAGTAAGCTACATCTACAAAGCAAGACAACTGGGTATGGTTAGCGACTTGACCATACATGTTGCAACATCAGAGAAACAGCATAAGAACATAAATAGGATCAGGAGAAGGCAATATAGCCCCTCAAGCCTCTTTTGCCATTTAATATGATCATGCATGATCTCATCTCAGTCTCAGTTCCACTTTCCTGCCCACTCTTCATAATCCTTCAGTCCACTACTAATTAAAAATCTGTCTAACTCCTCCTTAAATTTATTCAGTGGTCCAGCATCCACTATAGTCTACGGTATTAATGCCACAGATTCGTGACTATTCCAGAGAAGTAATTTCTCCCCATCTCTGTTTTAAATCTGCTATCTCTTAACCTAAAGCAATGGTTCTTCTTCTTGTTGCCCCACACAAGGAAGCATCCTTTCTATGTCTACTCTGTCAATCCGCTTTAGCAACTTAAGTACTTCAATCAGATCTCCTTTCATTCTAAGCTCCAGATAGTATAGGCCTAAGCTACTGAATCTTCCTTCATAACACAATCCCATCATCTCTGGAACCAATCTGGTGAACCTCCTCTGAACTGCCTCCGATACTATTACATTCCTGCTGGAGTAAGGGGGCCAAAATTGTATGCAGTACTCCAGGTTTGGTCTCACTAATGCCTTGAACAATTGCAGCAACTCCTCCTTAGTCTTTTTTTACTCAATTCTTTCAGCAATGAATGCCAAAATTCATTTGCCTTCCTTCTTAGCTGCACAAGGATTCCCAGATCCCACTGCACCAAAGCACTATGAAGTTTCTCTCCATTTGGATAATAAGTTGCCTTTTTATTCCTCTGATCAAAATGGATAACCTCACACTTATCTGCTTTAAACTTCATCTGCCAAATTTTGATCCATTCACAAAACTCTGTGATCTTAAGACTCCAAAACATTCAATGCTTTAACCTTTTTCCTTTGAGAATAAACTTTTAGCCATACTGCTTGCTTTTCAGAAAACCAATCTATGCAGAGAAATCTTTTTTTCTGACCTCTGTGTGTGTGTAAGTGTGTTTTGGGAATTCCTTTATTCATTCGTGGGACATGGGTGTCGCTGGCTGGGCCAGTATTTCTTGCCCATGCCTAGATGCCCTTGAGAAGATGGTAGTGAGCTGCCTACTTGAACCGCTGCAGTCCACATGCTGCAGGTGGATCCACAATGCCCTTATGGAGGGAATTCCAAGTCAGGATGGTGATTGACTTGGAGGCAAACTTTCAGATGGTGGTGTTCCCATGTATCTGCTGCCTTTGTCCTTCTAGATGGAAGTGGTCATGGATTTGGAAGATGCTGTCTAAGGATGTTTGGTGAATTTCTGCAGTGTATCTTGTAGATAGTACACACTGCTGCTACTGAGCGTCACTGGTAGAGGGAGTGGATGCTTGTGAATGTGGTTCCAATCAAGTGGACTGCTTTGTCCTGGATGGTGTCAAGCTTCTTGAGTGTTGTTGGAGCTGCACCAATCTAGGCACTTAGGGAATATTCCATCATACTCCTGACTTGTGCTCTATAGATTGTGGAAAGGCTTTAGGTGATAAGGAGGTGAATTACTCTTAGCCTCTGATCTGCCCACGAAGCCACTGTGTTTATGTGGCAAGTCCACTTGAGTTTCAGGTCAATGGTAATCCTGAGGATGTTGATAGTGGGGCATTCAGTGGTGTTAACAACATCAAATATCAAGACGCAGTGGTTAGATTGTCTCGTATTGGAGATGGTCATTGCCTAGTATTTGTGGGGCATGAATGTTATTTGCCACTTGTCAGCCTGAGCCTGGATATTGTCAAGATTTTGTTGCATTTAAACATGGACTGCTTCAGCATCTGAGGATTCACAAATGGTGCTGAACATTTTGCAATCATCGGTGAACATTCCCACTGCTGACCTTAGGACAGAAAGAAGGACATTGATGAAGCAGCTGAAGATGGTTGGGCTGAGGACACTACCCTGAGGAACTCCTGCAGAGATGTCCTGGAGCTGAAATGACTAACTTTCAACAAACACAACCATCTTCCTACGTAATAGGAACTGCAGATGCTGGAGAATCTGAGATAACAAGGTGTAGAGCTGGATGAACACAGCAGGCCAAGCAGCATCAGAGGAGCCGGAAGGCTGACGTTTCGGCTTAGACCCTTCTTCAGAAAAGGTTGACGTTTCAGGCCTAGACCCTTCTTCAGACCCTTTTTCTGAAGAAGGGTCTATGTCCAAAACGTCAGCCTTCCTGCTCCTCTGATGCTGCTTGGCCTGTTGTGTTCATCCAGCTTTACAGCTTGTTATCTCATCTTCCTACGTGCCAGGTATGACTCCAACCATTGAAGGGTTTGCCCTTTGACACCCATTGATTTAGATGAATAAGCATTTATATGTCTATATTACTGTCTCTGTATGTCAACTAATTATTGCATCTTGAGTGACTAAGTTTTGCTTAACACTGAACCTATAATTGTGTTTATGAAGAAACTTGATTACTATATATTGTTTAAAAATAAGGTATTTAATTGGTCATATTGGTCACTGGAAAAAAGTGTCGTTATTTTATTTTGTGATCAGTGTTCCTACTAATTGTTTGTTTTATCTATGCAGTCCTCTGAGATCCATGCATAGCAGTGACTTCTGGAACTGGAAATTCACACGCTGATGTGTGGACCCTCAGAGTGACTGCATGTTTACACAGCTCTGCTCTTTAGACAGAGCACTGGTTGTGACCTGAGGAGCAGTGGAACTAAAACAACAATGTACTCCTCCAGCCTCAGTCCTAACACAAGTCAGAAGTACAGCAAATGGGCACTGCAAATGGGCTTGTTGCTTCTGAATACTGGGAGCCAGAAACTGCTCCCAATTCCTGTCATTCTGATGTTGAAAGGTCTGGATGCATGGATACCGAGTTGCTGAATGTGGGCAATAGCCAGATGGTGGTCAATACCTGTGGGACATGGCAGGATAGTGGGAAGAGGAGAAATAACAGAAGAGCTATGCAACAGACAGAGGGAGAAAATAAAAGGGAAAGCGCACGGATGGGAAGACTCCACTTCTGTTGATAATTATTATAAGACACTGTTCACCACACGTGAGCACTTCTATCACATGAAGATATGAACATCATATGATCGTGAAAGTTCCCACTTTGGGCCCAAATCCTACAGTCCCAACTTACAGGCGCTCACAAAGGCTCCTGGACAAAACCTAAATCAGCACCACGCATCAGCCACAAAGAAAATGCGGTTCAAAATCATTGCCAACGCCTATCAAACGAGCACTCATAACTCTGTAATTTGTGATAACAAGTCCACCTTCACATTCCTGTCTCTAAAACTTGTAATCATTCCTCATGCCAACGTCCCTACATCTTACTATTGTATTTTGCCAGTCTCTCTGCCTCATTCTCTCATCCCACTGTCGTTCTGCGTTTTACACGCGTTCTTTCTCTGATCGCTTTCTGTCCGTGGGAGACAAAGGACTGAAGTTTAATTGCAGCTCCGTCCAACTTCCGTGACATATACAGATTTTAAAACATAAACGCCGGCGTGCTTGCATGTCTACAAGCTTAAAACAAACAAACGTGAAACAATCACTGGCTTCTTTGCAGCTCTGACAACCACTCAATTCTCTAGAAGCCGGCTGGAGAATTGGGAGTTTGCTGAGAGGTCTGGCTGGACAGCTCAAACGCACGGTATTCAATGAAAAGTTGCCCCTAGCCAGAGCAGTCGGGTGTTAAAGACTGTCTACCTTCTACCTACCCTAGCGCCAACGGCTCCTCATCCAGCGGCACGAAGCTCAACGCCACTCGCTTCGAAACTGAAAGCAGCTTCTCTCGCAGATTTTTTCCGGGAAACTATATGAAGACTTACAGAAAATCACGTGGCTCCTGACAGCTGGTCTGGAGCCCAAACTAGGTGGGGAGTTGAAGACACAGTGGAGGTGCTTTGTACAGCCCCCCGGGGAGGGTGAGGGGGACTGCAGCGGTTTCGCGAATGACTTTGGAAAATTGACAAGTCCTGCTTACCTGTGACGTTCAGGTGCCCGCAGCTTTCTCAAGCTCACAAGCCATTCGCTCCCAATATTCGCCGAGAAGAAGTTACCACAGTACCGGGCGAAGCTTCATGCTGGGAGGACAATTAAAAACAAAAATCATATCACACTTCCCTTCATCGTCTACTAGTCTGCGCTCGCATGCTAACCAGCATTTAACATCACAGAATCCCTACAGTGTGGAAACAGGCCATTCGGTCCAACAAGTCCACACCGCCCCTCGGAACAGCATCCCACCCGGACCCACCCATCCCCTATCCCTGCATTTCCCCAAGTCTAACCCAAACATCCCTGAACATGGCCAATCCACCTAACCTGCACATCTTTCGACTGTGGGAGGAAACCCACGCAGACACGGGGAGAATGTGCATCCTCCACACAGACAGTCGCCCGAGGGTGGAATCGAACCCGGGTCACTGGCACTGTGAGGCGGCAGTGCTAACCACTGAGCCACCATGCTGCCCTTTAAGTCTCCGATGTGGGCTATAAATCATTCAGAGATAGCAAGAGCTGCAGATGCTAGATACCGTCTTGTTTTTAACATCCGATGTGATTGTTTAGCTCGATTTACTTTCCTCTTTCTGTGTTAGTTCATGTGCACAGTATGATCCTGAACTAGAAGCAGAACATGCTGGAAATACAGTAGGCCAGGCAGCAACAGAGGAGCAAGAAAGTTGACATTGGAGGTCGGGACCCTTCTCCACACTGTGTTAGACCTGACTCCAGTATCGGCAGTTCTTGCTATCTCTGGAAATACAGTGCAGTGCCTTTGCAAAGAGAGAGTCAGCTTTTCAGGAATGCCACTTTTCACCAGAACCTTCACGCTAATATCCCACTGAGATTACTGGACAACCAGAGATACATTGGAAAAGTTATCCACTTAGTCTCATTTCCCTGCACTTTCTCTCTCTACCCGTTCACTTCTCCCTTCAGGGATTGATCCAACTCATTCCTAAAAGTTATTGAGTCAGCTCCCCACCATCTCCCTTCCTGGTGTGTATTGCAGCTCAGAAACACACGCTGCATTTCATTGTCTGTGATTCTTTTGCCAATTACCTCAATTTTGTTCCCACCGATTGTCAGCATTTTCACAAGTGGGACCATTTCCTTCTTAATTACAATTTCAAACCCCTTCCCGATTTTGAATACCTGTGTCAAATCTCCCCAGTTTCTCCATGCTGTCCATGTGACTGAAGTCCTATTACTATCCCATTTTCCTGCATCTCCTCTCAGGTCTTGACACCTTTCTTAAACATTGGTGCCCCCAGAATTAGCATTCATATAGGTTTCATATAGGTTTATTATAACTTCCCTCAGTTTGCACTCATTTTGTCACCTATCCTTTTCCCTTATTAAATGAATCATTTCAGACCCCATATTGTTAAATTTTGTTTGCCATATGTTGTCCCATTTCATTGCTCTATTCTCCTGAAGCACGTTAGAATCCTCTTCGCTGTTTACTTTCCAAGTTTCCAAGTTTTGGTAAACTTTGAAATGATGGCTTTCCTACCCAGGGTAAGATCATTTAAACATATTAAAAAGAGCAGTGATTACCAGCAGTGCCCCAGAAACACCACTATAGGTATTCAAGATCATGCAAAATTGGAGCAGGCATGGTCTATTCAGCCTAATGAACCTGCTCTGCCATTCAATAAAATCACGGCCGATCCAACATTACACATGTCCACTTTCCTGAGTTTTTTCTATAACCCTTGATCCCCCTACTGATCAAGAATCTATCTCCCAGTCTTAAATACATACAAGGAATTCCAAAGACTCACAACCCACTGGGAGATGCAATTCTATCTTATCTCCGTCTTAAGTTTGCCATTCCTTATTCTGAGACTGTGCCCTCTAGCCCCAGACTCTCCCATGAGGGGAAACATCCTCTCAGCGTTTACTCCGTTAAGCCCTGAAGAATTCTGAATACCAGTGGGGAGACCCCCAACCTGTTCAGCTTTTACTCATAAGACAATCCCTCTGTACCAGGAATCATCCGAGCAAAACTTCTCTGAACTGCCCACCAACAGAAAAATACTTTTTCTTAAATATGGAAATGAAAACTGCTCACAGTACTCCAGATGTGGTGTCATCAGCACTACAGATGTGATAAGTCTTCCCTACTCTTATACTCCAAACACCATGAAATAAGAGTCAACATTCCATTAGCCTTCCTGATTACCTGCTGTACCTCTGTGCTAACTTTCTGTGCTTTATGTCCAAGTCCCTTTGTGTTGCAGTTTTTCTCTCTAAGTAGTACTGCTCTTTTGTTCTCCTTCCAAAATGAACACCTTCACATTTTCCTCCATTTACCAACTTACATAACTTGTCAATGTCTCTCTAAACCGTTTGTGTTCCTCTTGTAACCTGCCTTTCCATCTATTTTTGTGTCACCTGCAAATTTGGCTACAGTACATTCGCTTCCTTCCTCCAAGTTATTAATATATATTGTAAACAATTGTGATCCCAGTACTGATCTCTGCAAAACCCCACTGGTCACTGGTTGCCAACTGGACAGAAAACCCCTATTCCCACTTGCTGTTTTCTGCCCATCAGCCAATTCTCAATCAATGCAAATATACTACCTCCAACACTGTGGGCTCTTATCTTACCTTTTGTGAGGTACCTTGTTGAATACCTTCTGGAGGTCCAAATACATCTGAAGGTTCCCCTCTATCCACTCTGTTTAAGATTTGCTCGAAAAACTGTAATAAATTAGTAGGACATGATTTGCCTTACATGCTGACTCTGCTTGACTAAATTATGATTTTCCAAATGTGCTGCTATTATTTCCTTAATTGTTGATTCCCACGTTTTTCCAAAAATAGATTTTAGGCTAATCAGTTAATCAGCTGCTTTTTGCCTCCCTCCCTTTTGGAATAGGAGTATCACATTGGCAATTTCCAATCCTCTGCTACTTCTCCAGAATCCAATTTTTGGCAAACGGCCTGTTCCTATTTCTTATGGTCTTATAGAAGGCCATTGTTATTTTCCACTAACCTTGCTGCCTGCTGTTGTGTTGGTGAACCAGACTGAATTTTATAAAGCAGACTGAATGTCACTCCTCCATTCAGAAGAAGCATTTAATCTCCTTTGGCTACATCTCTCCCAAATGATCCCTTGTGGGTTTAGGAATGCAAGATGATAGGGGTCACAGGACATAGCATATATCCTTCTTCTCCAAATGGAACCAATTTAAGGTACAAATTCCAGAATCCACAAACATAAAATTTAACTAGCCTTTAGGGTAAGTTCCAACACATCCAAATTATACAAGTCAGTGCTTAAAATGCCTCTCATTACCTACCATGCCCTGGAATATTTTTCCATGCGTTGCCTACTTATGGTGATACCAGCCCAAGCCTTGCTATTGTATGGCATATTCACCCAAATCTTATCTTTCCATAATGAATCACTGTAAGTCCAATATTTCTGTCACATATCACATTAACATCTTTGTATGGTAGACAACCAAACATTGTCTTTCAACTTAATAAATGTGTACTTATTTATCTTATTAAGGTTTATTTATAATGGAAATTTATCTTATTAAAGCGTAGTCAACATGGAAATAAAATAGTTTACTTCAACAAAATATTTTCTGAGTTAGTAGCGAGAAAGAGGAACAGATATCTTATAAGTGCATTTGGTCTAAATCCATTTATATTGTTGACTGAGGTTCAAACTTTTTAATGGCCTGCACTTTGCCACTAGAATGAGGATGAGGCAATCAGCATTCAATGTAATTAAGGAGTAAACTGAACAACAATATTTGGTATCTGCACATGCACAGTTAAACATGGGTGTCAGAAGGCTGATTTTCTGACCCTGCTCCTTCACAAGCTTTAACACACCGGTACCTGGTCAATAGTCTCAGCATTCAGACACATGAAGGTATGAAGTTGTGGTATTTTACCCAATAGGTAACTAAAGAACATGCCAGGAAAGGTTGCAGCTTTGCCAGTCAAGCCTATGTGATTTTTTTTTAAGAGTGCATGAACAGAAGTAGACCATTCAGCCCATACCAATCCTCTGAACAGCATCCCACCCAGACCTATTCCCCTATCCCATCCCTGCAACTCAGCATTTCCCATGGCTAATCCACCTGGCTTGCATACCATTGGCAATTTAAAACAGCCAATCCACATATCCTGTATATCTTTGGACTGTGGGAGGAAACCCACAGATACATGGGGGAGAATGTGCAAATTCCATACAGACAGTCACCCGATGGTGGGATTGAACCAGGGTCCCTGGTGCTGTGAAGCAACAATGCTAACCACTAAGCCACCCGAATGTATTCAATAATTGAGCTTCCACAGCTCAGAGTAGAGAATTCCAAAGAGTGATTCCAAATAATTCCAAAGAAGCCTTCTGATCTCATTTCTTAAGCAGGCTACCCCTCATTGTAACTGATTCTTAACTGCCCTCTGGGCAATTAGGGATGGGCAATAAATGCTGGCCTGGCCAGTGAGACCCTCATCCCTTGAATGAACAAAAAAAATCCTGAGATTATGTCCCTTGATTTTAAACTCACCAGCTGGGGAAAATATCTCATCTACATCCACCAGGTAAGAATTTTGTAAGTTTAGATGAGATCATCCCTTATTCTTTGATACTCGGGGAAATACGTACTGAATCTGCTTAATTTCTTCTCATAACATATTCTCACCATCCCAGGGACTAATATGGTTGCACTACCTCTATGGCAAGTGTATCCCTCCTCAGATAACTGGACCAAATCTGTACACAATACTCCAAATGAAGTCTCAGAAAGACTCTATACAATTGCCACAAGACATCTTCACTTCTGTACTCTACTCTCCTTGCGATGGAGGCAGCATTGTATTGGCCTTCCAAATTGCTTGCTGCATGTGAATGAACTGAAACATGAACAGGGACACTCAGGTCCTTTTTACACCCGTACTTCCCATCCACTCACCGTTTAGGAAATATTCTGCTTTTTTCTGGGGCTTTTTTCTAACAAAGTGAATAACTTTACATTTATTCATATAATATTCATTTTGCAATGTTCCAGGCCATTCACTTATCTTGTCCAAGTCCACTTGAAACC